AATAACAAGTTAGTGTCCTAGCTTGAACGATAACTAACACAAAAAGCAGCACCTCGTTTCCCTTCCTCAGCCATTCTACTTCCATCAAATTCCCTACTTAGCACTTGGTTCACAAAGCACCCAATGCTGTTGCATTCTTTAATGGTGACATCCATACGCTTATTTTGAAATAACATACAGAATTAATAAAACTGCATTTCTCACATTTGACAGGCTTTACAGTCAGCATATACATTGTCATCTCTTATGGAACTACCTCATATTTAGGAATTTTATTCGATAATTTTTACATTAAAAACAGGCAAAAATATAAAACATAAATATTTTACATATAATATTTCTTAACATTGGTCAACTAGTGGGATTCTTGCATATGGTACCTGTTTTAAACTTTCAGATATGAATCCACTGTAAGGTTTATCAGTGAGGTACTTCTGATACACTTCCAGAACCATCAATGCTACTTCTGTGTGAAGGGAAGCATCAACAGCAAGGGTTGATTGCTATAAAATAAAACAAAGTAGTACTTCAGAGATATTATTTTGTGACAGAATACCTTATTCCTGCACAGCTTTTTTGATTTTAAGGTAAAATGTTTCTTTAATGCTCTAATAAATTTACTTTTCATTATCATTGTAATTGTGTCCTAATTTTGGAGTATACTTTGAATTGATATACTTTCCATGCCTAGAAAAGTCCCCTATAATTCCTTTTTACTGGATGTAGTGTCAATCCTGAGCATGCCACCCAGGGCCAGACTGCCTACACCCTTGGGTTTTGAAGGAAGTGGCAGCAGAGAGAGTGGATCCATTACTTAAAATATTCCAAATTGCAGGAAAGGCTCCAGTGAATTAGAAAAATACTAATATAACACACTTATTCAGACAGCGAGGGAGGCAGAAAGTAAACTAACTGCTCTGCAGTTTCCTAACATGTGTCATTGTAAATTGCTAGAATTCATTAAAGAGGAAGTAATAACAGGACATTTGGAAAGTCAAAATACAATCCATCAGAATCAGCATCGTCTTATGAAGGATAAATCAAAATGACTAAATTGCTTGTTATATCTTCAAAGAACTCTAGCAACGTGGATAATGGAGATCCTGTAGATGTAGGCATTTGATAAGGTGCCACAAAGAATGCTAATACACAAGGTAAGATTCACATGGAGTTGGAAGCAATTTATTAACTTGGATAGAGGGTTAGTTAACCCAATGGAAAGCAGAGAGCGAGATAAATGGGTCTTTTTCTGGGTGGCAAGATGTACCTAGTGGCATGCCACAAGGTTCTGTCCTTGAGCTCCAAAAACTTACAATCTATATTAATGATTTTGTTGCAGGGATAGAAAGTATTACAGCCAAATTTGCAGATGACACTAAAATAAGTGGGAAAGTAAATTACAATGAAGAAATAAGAAATTTACAAATGGACAGAGAAAGGTTTAGGGAATGGGCCAAAATTTGGCAAAGTTTGAAGTGGCTAAGTGTGAGGATATCTATTCTGGTTACAGGAATAAAAAGGCAATTTATTATCTAAATAGAAAGAAACTTCAGCGTTAGTAGGAACTGCAGATGCTGGAGAATCCGAGACAACAAGGTGCAGGGCTGGATGAACACAGCAGGCCAAGCAGCATCATAGGAGCAGAGAGGCTGATGTTTCGGGCCTAGACCCTTCATCAGAAAAGGGTCTAGGCCCGAAACGTCAGCCTCTCTGCTCCTAAGAAACTGCAGCGTGTTTGGGGGAGAATTTAGGGGGTGTGGTTAGCAAGTTTGTGGATGACACCAAGGTTGGTGGTATCGTGGACAGTGATGATTATCTGAGAATGCAGCGAGATATTGATTAAGTAGGCCAGCGGGCTGAGGAATGGTAGATGGGAGTTTAATTTAGATAAATGCAAAGTGTTGCATTTTGGTAAGGCAAACCAGGACAGGCCTTACAGAGTCAATGGTAGGGCCCCGGGGAGTGTTATAGAAGAGATCTAGGGGTACAGGTTCACAGCTCCTTGCAAGTGGATTCACAGGTAGACAGGGTGGTGAAGGCGGCTTTCAACATGCTTGCTTTCATTGGTCAGGGCATTGAGTATAGAAACAAAAAAAAACTGCAGATGCTGGAACCCAAGGTAGACAAACAGGAGGCTGGAAGAACACAGCATGCCAGGCAGCATCTGGAGGAAAGGAGCAGTCAACATTTCAGGGATTACCCTTCTTATAGAAGTTTGGTAAGTCTTGTTGCATCTATACAGGGTGTTGGTGAGGCCACGTTTGGAGGACTGTGTGCAGTTCTGGTCACTCTACTGTAGAAACGATATTATTAAACTAGAACTAGAAAGCGTGCAGAAAAGATTTACGAGCATGCTACCTGGGCTGGACAGATGAGTTACAAGGAGGTTGGGTAGGCTGGGACTTTTCTCCTTGGAGCTTAGGAGACTGAGGGGTGACCTTCTAGAGGTTTATAAAATCATGAGGTGGACAGATAAATAGATAGCCAACAACTTTTCCTCATGGCAGGGGAATCTAAAACTAGATGGCATGAGTTTGAGGTGAGAGGGGAAAGATACAAAAGGGTCCAGAGGAGTAATATTTTTCATGCAGTGGGTGATGAATGTCTGGAACAGGCTGCCAAAAGTAGTGATGGAAGCAAGTACAATTTCATCATTTAAGAGGCATTTGAACAAGTACATGGAAAGGAAGTACGGAGGGATATGAACCAAATGCAGACAAATGGGACTAGTTTAATTGCAAAAACTGGGCAGCATGGGCAAGTTGGGCCAAAGGGCCTGCTTCCATGCTGTAGACTTCTACGACTCTATGACTCCTTCAACAGCACCTTTCAAATCCAGAACCTCTACCATCTAGAAGGATAAGGGCAGCAGATCAATCAGGGCACCAGCACTTACAAGTTCCCCTCCAGGACTTCTGCCCAGTCCTGCTGCACATTTTATGACTATCTGGAGACTGGAAGATCTGGGCCATTATTTTGAGGCAAATTATGCGACTTTAAACATAACTGACAATCTTATGTCAAAGCTATATGTTACTATCTCTTAAAATGGGCAGTTTATTCACCCAGTACCAATCTAAAGCTATTCTCTGCTCCTGATGGGTTGTTTCCTTTTTCCTGTTCCCAACTGTGTAACTTCTAATCTCAGAACTGACTTTTATTATGAGGGTACCATTAGAGATTTCTTCACTCTGATTCAAGTTAGGTCATTTTACCAGATCCCTTTAAATCCTCATGAACTCTGTCTTCAATCTGAGCGTGAGCTCTCATCCACATTCTGTGTGTCTCTGTCCGCTTCTCTCAGATTCATACAGGCTCCCTTAGGCTTGAGAAGTTGTAACCAGATGCTACATTGGCTTGCTTTTGGCTTTAGCCCTATTAATGCTCACATCGATGGCAACATGAACTTTATTGGCCTTATATTCAGATAGAAATGTCAAATAGCTATCTCCTATACACTCAATTCTTGCAATTAAAGACCTTAAAACATAACTGTTTATAAAACCTGACGTTCTCAACACCTCCTGTCCTAACTATAGTCTAGCAGTTTACATATAATTAGCACAACTGCTCTTCAATCATCGACAAGCACTTTGCTCACCTTTAATCTTTAAACAAATAAGAACTGGCAGAATGCAAAACAGAAGACAGGTCACATGACTCTTCATTCCTCCATTTTAGCAAATGAAAATTCATCCCAAGATACAAGAACTTAATACAACTGCATCATCTGACTTACCAATATACATTAAGTAACATTTTAACCAATACCAATTGCATTTGTTTTTCATTTCTACTCGATGTCTGGAAGCACTTCATAGCCAATTAAGTAGTTGAAGTGCAAACATTTTTGTAACGTAGAAAAGCACGTGCTTTAAATGCAAACTCAGCTGTACATGTAAAGATGTATCCACGTTACACTTCTAATCGGCAAAGTACAGTCTAATATGAAAACTTCCAAACTAAATAATAGTTGAGCACCATGACACCAGACTGTGATTCATTATAACAGTCAATGTTTCAGGTATTAAGAGTTATAGTACAGTTAAAACAATGTCTACCATGGCTCTGGCTGCATAACATGCACTAAATAATATAACATTATGTTAGAAAAAGCACAATTCAAGTTTCTCAGCATTAAGAACCAATGATAAAATTTTGGTAAATGGTTAGCAAAATGTTACTACTGCCCTTTTGCAATTTCAATAACGTACCTGTTCATCAACACCCCAATTCAGTCCTTCAAGTATGATGCAAGCCAACTTATTCTGCACAGTGGATAAACTGTAGTTCAGAAGCCAGTCATGAATTATATCAACTTCAGTTGATGTGATTTTCCATAGGTGCAGGGGAAGTTCTTTAAATAGGTACAGAGAAACCTACAACAAAAATTTTTCTTGAGTTTCTTTCCTCGAAAAGAGAAAAAAGTTTTCAGTATTGTCTCTAAGATATACCTTAGGTTGAAGATTTTTTGAATTCACATCTGCTGCATTGTCTATAATTTCTAATTTGTGCTCAGATTGCACAAAGCTACTAATGATGCGCAAATCATAAAGTCTACTCTATTATACTTCTTCTACATTCACAGTCCCATTTTGATTGTTTCACTTCTTAACCATCAAATTGCTATTGTAATTGAGATTGTAGACTTGCTGCTGAGCTGGTATGTTTGGTCACTTTGCTAAAATTTTCAGTTGTGGGTATTCCGGGTTGCGCAAAGCAAAACAGGAGCACCCACACGGAGTTTTTAAAAGGAATGGATACCCAAAAAGCACAATCCGCTGTTACCTCCGTGACAGACCACAAGAAGACATAAAATGGCCAGACACATTAGTCACCCTTAAGTACATCAGAGACATATCAGAGATGACCACAAGACTACTTGGACCCCTAGGCCCCTAGGTATTAGGGTAGCCCACAAACCAACAACCACCCTGCGACAACTACTGATGAACGTAAAGGATCTCATATCCACAACTAATAAAACTAGCATAATATACAAAATACCATGCAAGGTCTGTGAGAAACATTACATAGGCCAAACTGGAAGAAAACTGACAATAAGGATACATGAACACCAACTAGCCACTAAGAGACACGACTAATTCTCACTGGTCTCAATACACACAGACAAAGGACACAAATTTGACTGGGACAACACATCCATAATAGCACAGGCCAAAAAGAGACATGCCAAGGAATTCCCAGAGGCCTGGCATTCCAAACAGAACTTCATTAACAAACACATTGAACTGGACCCAATATACAAACCACTGAAAAACATAACCAGAAGTGTCGCCAACCACCCCAGCAAACCGAGGCATATAAATAACAAGCCAGACAGAGCATCAATGCTTCACTGGAGGCTCTCTGGACCAGGAGACCCAGATTCAAGTCCCACGTGCTCCAGAGGTGTGTAATAACATGCTTAAATGGGTTGATTAAAACAAAGTTTACTGTCTTTGCTCATCTGCAGCTGAAACCCACATTCATGCTTTTGTTACCCACAGACTTGACCGCTTTGCATTAGTTTGGCTGGTTTTCCATCTTCCACCCACTATAACCTTCTGAAACTGCTTACGTTCTGACTCACTACAAAGTTGTATTCACTCAGCTCTTCCACACTCAATGACCTACAATGGCTCTTTGTTCACTAATGCTTCAATTTTACAACTATAATCCTTGTTTTCAAATCCCTCAAAACCTCATCCACTGTATTTCTAATGTCCAACATCATCTTGCTCCTTTAATTCTGGCCTCTTGGATATTCCTGATTTCAAGTACTTTTGTACTTTACGTGTGCCTTCAGCCACAGAAGTCCTAAGTTCTCGAATTCCCCCCTAATTTCTTTGTCTTTCTAGCTTTCACTCTTACTTTTTAATGATCCTTTTAACTTCTTTGACCAAGATTTTGGCTATTTAATCTAACATCTCATGTAGTTCAATGTCAAATTTTGTTTGATAAAGTTCCAGAGAAGTGTCTTGGAACATTTTACTATGGGTTCTATAAACTATCTATATACTAATTGCTGCAACTGAAAAGGTAATGTTTCCTTCTCATAATAAATAAAAGTTGTACTTAACCAGATGCTAGTAGCTCACACTATTAATGTGACATACCTAAGAAAATTAAATTTATTCAAAATTAACCAGTTGATTAATGATCAAAATTTTCTCAGGTTTTTGGAATAGATCTGTAGCTCGGGTTGTGGGTGTTGAGGTTGGTTGGCTCGCTGAGCTGGTTTGTTGTTCCGCAGACATTTCGTTACCATGCAGGGTAACATCCTCAGTGCAGCCTCTGATGAAGCATCGGTGTGTTTTCCCGCCCGGTTTTTAAACTCTGGGGTCCATTGAGAGGGATTGCCTCACTTCCGGGTTTCCTCCGTAGTGGAATGTATATGGGGTCGAGTTCAATGTGTTTATTAATAGCATGTTTCGTGTAGTGCCATGCTTCCAGGAATTCTTGTGCTTGTCTCTGCCTAGCCTGTCCCAGGGTCTTGGTGTTGTCCCAGTCGAAGTCGTGGTTCTGCTTGTCCATGTGGATTGAGATGAGTGAGTATTGGTCGTGTCTTTTTGTAGCCAGTTGGTGTTCATGTACTCTTGTTGTTAGTTTCCTTCCTGTTTGTCCGATGTAGTGTTTCTCACTATGTAGATGACACCGTTGTCATCATTAAACGGACCAAATTAGAAGAGACACACAAACTCATAAACAACACCCTCGCCAGAATAAAATTCACCAGACAGGAGGAGAAGAACAAACAACTTCCATTCCTAGACGTCATGGTAGAGCGCAAGACAAATGGGGAACTGCAAACGAAAGTACACCGAAAAGCCACACACACAGACCAGGTATTGAATTCAATAGTAACCATCCCAGCACACACAAACGAAGCTGCGTGCAAACACTATTTAAAAGGGCAACAACACGCCAAGAGGACGAGGAATACCTCTTCCAAGTGTTCAAGGATAATGGATATCCAAAGAACTGTGTCAGGAGATGCCTACAGGAACAGCATCAGAAAGATTCTACACGCCCTGACACACTCATCACATTACCCTACATCAGGAACACGTCAGAACTCACCACAAGACTTCTACGACCGCTGGGCATCAAAGTGGCACACAAGCCCACATCAACCCTACGACAAGTGCTCACCTGAACTAAAGACCCACTCCCCGCCATGGACAGGACCAATGTCATCTACAAGATCCCCTGCAGAGATTGCGAGAAACACTACATCGGACAAACAGGAAGGAAACTAACAACAAGAGTACATGAACACCAACTGGCTACAAAAAGACACGACCAATACTCACTCATCTCAAACCAGAGGGACTTCGACTGGGACAACACCAAGATCCTGGGACAGGCTAGGCAGAGACAAGCACGAGAATTCCTGGAAGCATGGCACTCCACGAAGCATGCTATTAATAAACACATTGAACTCAGCCCCATATACATTCCACTACGGAGGAAACCCGGAAGTGAGGCAATCCATCGCAACGGACCCCAGAGTTTAAAAATCAGGCAGGAAAACCTACCGACGCTTCATCAGAGGCTGCACTGAGGACGTTACCAAGCATGGTAACGAAATGTCTGCGGAACAACAAACCAGCTCGGCGAGCCAACCAACCTCAAGATCAAAACTTTGGCAGTTCATTCCAAGTTAAAACAGAACATACCATGCCAACTGTTTCAATAGTTTCTCGGACTCGATCCAGAAGTATAGAGATTATATCAGGATTAGCAGTCAAAATTGTGGCCAAAAGATCGCGGCCAACCTTGGAAAAGGCTTCTCTTGTGCAAAGACTTACAAAAGCTACCTATGAGAGATAAAAACACAGCATATTTTATATATTACAAGGATATGTATCGTGATATTGCATCATCTTCGTTGGCAACTCCAAGGTGGTGGTAATACTGTTTCTTCATTGCAGTATTTACAATTTTCTGAAGAGAGTTTGAGCAGGCATTATAACTTCAAGAAAGAATACAATAAAATGCTCTCTCCTATATGTACATCCAGTTAATCAATAAAGAACATGTTCCTGGATCTTTACCTGCTCTAGTTACAATTTTTCACACCATGTCCCTGTGAATGATAAGCCTCTGGAATATATACTTAATTCAACTCTACATATGGCTTATCAAGTATCCTCACTGAAATTGTCTACCTTCAGAAATTTTCACCATCTTCTACCTCTTCCGTGATAACATTTAAGCTGTGTGACTCCAAAAGAACCAGCACAGACCCTGTCTCAGTGAAGGCTGGGGTCAAACATAGCAGTATCATCACACCTACCCTTTCCTTCATCTTTCTTGCTGCATCATTGCCCCTCGCCTCCAGAAAATTACTCTCAGGCATGGAAGTAACTACCAGAATAGATGGAAAATTGCTCAAGCTATGCTGCCTTAATCCAGAAATCTAGAATCACTCTAACCTCAACCATTGAGCATCAGCCTGCAGATGATGCTCGTGAATGCTCACTCAGAAACAGAGCTCTAAGTCATTATTGACTCCTTCTCAAAAGTATGCGAGAAAATCAACCTTTCACAAAACATCTGGGAAACTATGATCCCCTTACCCCAGTTTAGGTCACAAAGGCTCAATTTGAATGGGGAGGTGATGACTTAGTGGTATTATCCACAGACAACTAATCCAGAAACTCTGGTAATGTTCTGGGGACCTGGGTTCAAATCCTGCCATCGCAGACGGTGGAATTTGGATTCAATTATTATCTGGAATTAGGAGTCTAATGATGTCCATGATATCAAACGAATAAGTAGATTTTAAAGAATGGAGTGTTTTTGTTTGCTTCAAATAAGAACGCTGTTATTGTCGACTGTCAACAGGCAATCAACAATGCTCATGCCGATTGTCAGGAAAAACCCCTCTGGTTCACTAATGTCCAGGGTCCATTAAACATTTTGGGCAGGAATTTTAGTGCTCAATGCTGACATGCCAGGAAGAAGGTGAGCATAAAGATGTATGCTACTAAGATGATGGTTTTCTGACACTAGTTTGCCTTTGGGCCATTTTCCCGGAGGCAGGACAGACAGCAGTTGGGTCTCACAAATGGCAGACAGCCAAGTCAAGCACTGAGAGCTAATTTAAGTATTATTGGCAAAAGGGGACTCTCAGAGGCGTCAGGCATAAGGCAGTTGCCTCAAAGTGACTTTGGGACGGCAGGCCAGCACACCCAACAGGGTTGAGGTCTATCCCCCCTACCTGGCTTCAAATGCAACTGCATGCCGTTTTCTGGGGTGGATCCTTAAATGGTGGCCCAGATATTGAGTTTATTTTTATTAAGAGTTTAAAAATTGGAGAGAACCCCTCCATCTAGACGCTCGAGAGGCCACTCTTCATCCTTGTTTGGACGAGAGCACACTCTCTGACCACTAATTGGCCAACTTGGGGGAAATCACTGCCAGATGATTGTTTTCCACAGAGTGAGAGCTTCTGATGCCAATTTAACCAGCACTGCAGTCCTAAAAGCTGCATGAAAAATTCTGCCCTCTGAATCTAACTGTTCATCTTCAGTAAAGCTAATTGATAACGAGAAGCGCACTCAAGCATTCCATGTACTCGCATACAGTACAGATAGATATACACCAACTAAAGTTTATAAAGCTAAACATTATGAAAAGAAATCATTAATGACTTGCAGCCAGCAGCATTGAAAAATATTAATCATGACATTTTAATGTTTATTAAAGCTATATTTCATACTACGGTGCTGACGTTTTACATAAGCTTTAGTCGTTGTCTCTTACAACTCAACATGAATACCACTAATCTAAGAGAATTTCAATTTTGAAATTATGTGCGTACCTCATATATTTCTAAAGCAACTGTCTTGACAAACTCTCGATCCACATTTCCTTGCTTTGGTTGAGTCATATGTGCAAATGTGGTGAGAAGGCATATTCCTTCAGAGTTGGTAATGTTGGACAGACATTGTTCAAACATTTGTTTATGTTCAGGGTCTGCATTAAAATAGAGATAAATAATTTAATAGGTTCCAAAGCAGGGTTATTAATATGTACTGTCAAATAAACTGGAAGCAACGCACTTTAAAAAAGATTTTTCACAGTGAAATGTTTTAACTGGTGAAAATGCAGTGGCTTGGGGCACAGATTCCATTTTTTAAAACACATTTCTCCTATAAATGAACTGCTTAGAAATTTAAATGAAAATTATATCTACACCATTTTCTTGAAACAAAAATTACAAATAACAAGTTTCTTTTGAAGAGTTGAGATGTTTTTTGTTTTTATTTCTTTTGTGGGTATGCTCATATGAAAGGCTCATATTAATATATTCATGATCCTATCTTACATTTTTATTTTGTTTTTCAGTGATTTTGTCAATTGACATCATCTGTGGGCACTAAGAGTCTGGGAATCAAGTCACATGCAAGCCAATTCAAGTAAGGCAGTGGCTTGGAAGTTGAGCAGTGCTGAGAAGGAGGCAGCAAGTTTAAAGAGTTTGGAGTTAGGGGAATGACCTCCTTCTGAACACAGCACTGAGACAGAAGGTGGCAAATTTAAGAAGTCTGGAGAGCAGGGAGTGGCTTCCTTCTGAATTCAGTGCCACAATTGGAGGCAGCAATTTAAAAAGAATGCAGAGTGCAGGGTGCAATTTCCTTTTGAACACAGAAAGGAGGGGAGGCAGTGATTGAAAAAGAGCGTGGATTGCAGACAGTGGCTTCATTCTGAACACAGCAGTGCTGAGAGGGGCCAAGCGTGAAAAATGTCCAAGATGATGCCATTAAAGTATACTTAAAGTATATTTAAGATGCAGATAGATAGATTCTTGATTGTCAAGGGGATCAAGGGTTACAAAGAGAAAATGGGAGAATGGGGTTGAAAAACTTATCAGCCATGATTGAATGGCACAGCAGACTTGATGGGCTGAATGGCCTAATTTCTGCTCTTATGGTCTTATAGTAAATCTGTATGTTTATCAGTTGTTGAGAAGCTTCCATTCGAAAGTGAATCTAAATAACTGAAAACTAAAAAAACTATTTATAAGGAGGAAGTTTCTTGTATTTCAGAAAAGAACATCAGCAATAGGGAGGTAAACTAAATCAAATCAAAATAAAAATGTAAAATAGAAGGAAAATAAGTTATTAGTAAGTCTTTACAGTAAGTTTATGTTTATTCTAAAGGTGACAAATAACCTTCAGAGTTATGGGTTGGGAAATCAGTGGAACAACTAAAGTGTACATCTTGTAGTATGCATTAAGACATGGGCGTACCATGGGTCTCGGACAAACACATCTAAGAAAGAGTCACATCTACACAAGCTTGAGCTGTGTTTTGGAACTTGAGCTGCAGCGGAATCTCTGTGGATGTGTGACTGGCACATATAGGAGGTGGTCATAATACAGATTAGAAATGTATGGTCATAGATGGAATGGGCGATTAGCAGAAATCAAGGCGGATAGTGCAACGTTTCCTGAGTCTATGGTGCTTGCCAAATGGTACACTATTTGGAAACGAGTAAAGGGATGGTTCCTCAAGGGAATGCAGGCAGGCACAAGTCCATTGCATCAAAGGCAACTTAACTGTATTGGCCAGGGAGGAGATGAGATCTGAAGGGCAATAATACCAGAGCATGCAGGGCAACTTTCTAAGTGAGGGGAGTCAGCCAGTAGTCATGGGCTGCTTTGGCGCCAATGGCAGAGGTGGCAAGTACATGAGGTTTTGAAAGTGGAAGAGAAGGAGTTAGGCAGGAAATTAAAAGCGGCAGCTCAAGAGCAGTAGTCTAAGATTTAAACACTGCCTTTTGACATTCAATGGTGATACCATCAGCGAATACTCGCTATCAACATCCTGGGGGGTTACCACTGACCAGAAGCTCACCACATAAAAACACTGACTACAACAGCAGGTCAGAAGCTAGGAATACTGCGGCGAGTAATCACCTCCTGACTCCCCAGAGCCCCGTCCATCATCTATAAGACACTCGTCAGGAGTCTGATGGAATGCTCTCAACTTGCCTGGATAGGTGCAGCTTCAACAACAACACAAGAAGCTTAACAGCATCCAGGGACAAAGCAGTCTGCTTGATTGGAAACACATCCACAAGTATCCACTCCCTCCACCACTGACATTCAGCAGCAGCAATGTGTACTATTGACAAGATGTACTTTCAAGATAATCCTTACAAACCCATGACCACTTCTATCTAAAAGGACAAGGGCAGCAGAAACATGGGAACACCACACTTGAAAGTTCCCCTCCAAGCCATTTACCATCCTGACTTGGAAATATATTTCCATTCCTTCTCTGTCACTGGGTCAAAACTCTAATTAACTTCCTACAGGCATTGTGGGTCAATCTATAGCATTTGTTCTGCAGCAGTTCAAGAAGGCAGCTCATCACCACCTTCTCAAGAGCAACAAAGGATGGGCAATAAATGCTGACCAGCCAGCGACATCTACATCCCACGAATGAATTAAAAAAGGAAGTAGAAAAGCTGTGAGGAAGACTAAAAGACAGGAGAAACAAAGCTGAGCATTGAGTATGCCTTAAATGCAGCAGGAGAACATACATTAAAAGGCATCATTTTACATAGGCAATGGATAGTCTTTGAAGAGCTATTGTATTGTTCACAGCAAGTGTACATTCCTTCAAGGTGCAAAAACTCTAAAAAGTCAGAAACCATGGCTGACATAGGAAATTAAGGAATGCATAAGAATAGGTTTATAAAATGGCCACAAACAATGATAAATCTGAGGATTGGCAAGTCTGTAGAATGCAGCAGAGGAGGAATAAAAAACTGGCAAGTTACGGGAGAAAAGAATATGAATGCAATCTAACAAAAAGCATAAAAATGGACAGTAAAAGCTATTACAGGCATGATCTCAGACGAGGGAGAATGAGCAGTGGAAAGCTATTAGTATTAGTTAATAAGGTTATACTGGAGAAATTAATGGAGCTGAAAGCTAATAAGTTCCCAGTACTACTTCCCAGAGTATTGAAGGAGAAAACTACAGAGATAGTTGATGTATTAGCATTCATCTTCCAAACTTCCACAGATTCTGGAATGATTGCTAAAGATTGGAAGCTTGCAAAATCTGGGAACCACAGACACAACAGCCTTACAGCAGTAAAGGGGAAATGCTAGACTATATAGTTGATTGATATGATATATGGACTCAGTAGAAAATGATCGGCTTGGGTATAGTCAGCATGGATTTGCAATGATGTTTGACAAGCGTGTTGGTGTTTTTGAAATGTTTCTGACAAGTTTATGAAGGGGATTCAATGACATTGGTATGGCCATAATTGGAGTGCTGCATACAATTCTGGTCACCCTGCTATAGGAAGGACGTTACTAAACAGGAAAGAATGCAGAAAAGATTTACAGGGATGTTACAGAGACGGGAAAGTTTCAGTTATAAGGAGGTTTGATAGGCTGGGTCTATTTTCCCTGGAATATAGAGGGCTGAGGGGTGACCTTATGGAGGTTTACAAAATCATGAGGGGCATAGATGAGTCAAGGTCTTTTCCCAAGGGCAGGCAAGACCAAAGCTAGAGAGCATAAGTTTAAGTTATGACGGGAAAAGATTTAAAATGGACCGGGAGGGGCAAATTTTTCACACAGACGGCAGTGCATCTATGCACAAGCTGTCAGAGGAAGTGGTAGAGGCTGGTACAATTACAACATTTAAAAGTCATTTTGACAGGTACGTGGATAGGAATGGGTTAGAGCGATATGGGCCAAACATAGGCAAACGGGACCAATGGCCTAAATGTGGATTTTATTTGTTTCAAAATCTCCCCATCCCCGGCCTTATCCCATGACCAACCCTCCCCCTCTTGTCCCTGCCTCCTTGACCTGACACAATCTGTCCATCTTCTCTCCCACCTATCTGCTCCTCCCATCTCACTGACCAATCCCCATCAGCCTACCTGCACCTATCTATCAGCATTCCACCTACGTTCTCCAGCCCGACCCCTCCTCTCTCTATTTATTTCTGAGCTCCCTTCCCACTCCCAAGCTTTTAGGAAGTCAAATGGAATATTAGCCTTTATAGCAAAAGAATTTGAACTCAGAAATAGTGAAATTGCTTCAATTTATTGAAGTTAGGTTAGACTGTACTTGGAGTCCATGTGCAGTTTTTGATTTCCTTATCTCAGCAAATATATTATTGCCATAGAGGGAGTGAAATGAAGGTTCACTAGATTTGTTTCCAAGATGTTGCGACTGGCCTACAAAGACAGTTTGGATAAAAAGGGCCTGTATACTCTTGAATTCCAAAGAATGAGAAGTGATCTAATTGAAGATACTTAAAAAGATAGGGTAAATGTAGGCAAGATGTTTCTCCTGGTTGGGAAGTCTAAAACCAGGGGGCACAATTTAAATATAAGGGCAAATGCCATCCAGAACCAAGGTAAGAAGCAATAGTTTTACTTACGCAGAAGGTGATGAGTCTGTAATTCTCTACCCCAGAGGGCTGTGGAAGCTCAGTCTTTGAGGTTGATACATTCTTGCTTATGAATGGCTTAATGGATTATTCGGATAGTGTGGATAAAAGGCATTGAAATGTTTAGTCAGCTGTGATCATACTGAATGGTGCATTCGGCTTGAATGGACTGAATGAACAACTCCTGTTTCTATGTCACTAAGTTATGCCAACACTACGTTTGCTTTCTAGCTCTGTTACCCTTCATTTCAGTTCATGAATGCTTACATTCTTCAGTAATTCATATCACCTGAATTGTTATTTAGCTGTTCATTTAAAACATATGAAATGATGTATATAATTCATTGTGCACACAGGGAAATGTATACCTCTGGTTTCTGAAAACAGCATTTTTATTAACAGATATTAATTGATGCAAGGGAGTTCAGAACAAGGTAAAGAATTCAAATATAGACAGGCTAAATTGGAAGTATCAATACTACTTCACAGAGGAGAAGATGTTTATCCTAATCACTTTTATCCACATTAATTTTAATCCAATTTTCACATATCAACATTGTGTACACATAACTATAGGTGAAAAATACCTTCATACCTTTAAGTTTGCTTTTGCATTCATCAGTACGTAGAGTAGCACACAACCGCGCAATATTTTCACTTTCTGCACAGTGCAGAATGTAGAAGAGTTTCCATATCATCTGAGTTGATAAGGTTTCAAATGGCATCTCAGACATGAAAAACCAAATTCCCAACCTGTTATTAAAGTAAAAAACAATTAGGTGTTTTTTGAAAAAGTAATTGAAATCTATTATGAACGTAATCATTCATTTTTGTTTAGGTCAGCCGGATGTGTAACATATATAATAAATCAAGTTTAAGATTTTGAAAAATCCACACCGATTAAGACTTAATTTTCCCAATATAAAGTGCACAACCTTCACTGTACAACCACCCTTCACTCTTCTCAACTCCATTGTCCAGTTTGAAGTGATCTAGAGAGGTATGGGATGATTGAGTTCATTTGTAGAGATCCCAAGCATGTAGATGGGTAACGACCAAAACCAAGCAGTTTACTATCAGAGCATTGATATGCTACAAGTACCGCAAAGCTCATTCTGCCCTTAGGGCATGGCCTTCTGGTCTGTCTGAAGACAAATGAGAAGAATTTAAGCCTCACAGTAAATGCATCCCTTCGAGCTTCAGTGTGACAGGTTGGTTCATCAATCATCAAGAGCATCCTGCCATATAATAAGCTTAATTACTGGATTATAAAGTCTGTCACAGAAAGTTGTCTTAATTCCAGACCTCTAAAGTGAGGCTTATTATTTTACAGTCGACTTGCTGAGAAAGAGAAATGAAAACAGAAATTGCTGGAAAAACTCAGCAGGTCTGGCAGCATTTGTGGAGAGAAATCAGAGATCCGAAGAAGGGTCACTGGACCTGAAACATTAACTCTGATTTCTCTTCACAGACGTTGCCAGACCTGCTGAGTTTTTCCAGCAATTTCTGTTTCTGTTTCTTTTTCAGTGTCCCCAGTTCTTCTGGGTAATTTTTTTTGCTGAAAAAAAGATTTAGTTTATCCTCCTCCCACCTGCCAATCAGTTAATAGGTGGTAGGTATGATGAGCCCATCATAGGTGGCATGGAGAACTGGTCTGACAGTGACTGCTGTTGACATCAAAGCAGGTTTTGACTAAGCATGGGCATCAAGGAGCCTTAGACAAATTGTGTTCAATCCATGGTTGGAGTCATACCTAGCACAATGGAAGGTAACTGCGGTTGTCAGAGACCAATATCCTCAGCCCCAAAGCTATCAGTGCAGGAGTTCCTCAGGTCTTCAGGCCCAATGATCTTCAGCTACTTTATTAATGATCTGCCCTCCACCATAAGGTCAAAAGTTCGATATTTGCAGATGACCACATAACGTTCAGTAGCATTCACTACACAAGTCTGTGCCCATATGCAGCAAGATATGGATAACATTCAGGCTTAACCTGATAAATGACAAGCAACATTCATGTCACACAAGTGGAGGGCAATGGACATTTCCAACAAGAGAGACATTCAATGGCATTACCATGCCAACAGTCAAGAATTTGACATAAGCCAAACAAGGCAGCCTATTGATTGCCATTCCATTCACATTAAACATTCACCAGTGATGGACAGTGGCAATAATACACAAGATGCACTTCAGCAACTCATCAAGCTTGATAACGTCGTTCATACACGTGACCATTATCCTTGAATGATAACGGAGAGACAAATGAAAACACACTGCCTGGAGGTTTCTCTCCAAGCCATATACCATCAAGACTTACAAAAATATTGCTTTCCCCCCCCGCCGCCCCATTGTTCCTGGGTCAGGATCCTTGGGACCCCCTTCCTAACAGCGCTGTTTGTGTACCTGCACAAAATGGGACTGTAGCAGTTCAAGAAAGCAGCTCACCATCACTTTGTCAAGGATAATTAAGGAACAGGCAATAAATGCTGGCCTTCCCAGCATTCATAGCAACCTTCAATCAGAAGTGCCGAGTGGATGATTCATCTTGGCCTCTAGTGCTCCTCAGAATTACAGACACCAGTCTGCAGCCAATTCAATTCACTCCACGGGATATCATGGAATGATTGGAGACACTGGATACTGCAAAGGCTACAAGCCCTGACAACATTCTGGCAATAGTACTGAAGACTTCTGCTCTAGAACTTGCCGCTCCCCTAGTCAAGCTGTTTCAGTACAGTTACAACACTGGCATCTAACTGACAATATGGAAAATTGCCCAAACGTGTCCTATACACAAAAAGCAGGACAAATCCCTGGGTTCCACCAGGGCTACTCAGCTCCTGACCTCATTACAGCCTTGGTTCAAACATGGACAAAAGAGCTGAATTCCAGAGGTGAGGGGAGAGTGACAGCCCTTGACAACAAGGCTGCATTTGACTGAGTGTGGCATCAAGGAACTGTTGCAAAACTGGAATCAATGGGTATCAGGGGGCAAACTCTATGGTGGTTGGAGTCATACCTGACACATAGGAAGATGGTCATGGTTGTTGGAGGTCAATCATCTCAACTCCAGGACATCTCTGCAGTAGTTCCTCAGGGTAGTGTACTTGGCCAAACCATTTTCAGCTGCTTCATCAGTGACCTTCCCTCCATCATAGGGTTAGAAATGGGGATGTTTGCTGATAATTGCACAATGTTCGGCACCATTCGTGACTCCTCAGATACTGAAGCAGCCCATGTTCAAATGCAACAAGATTTGGACAATATCCAGGCTTGGGCTGACAAGTGGCAAGTGACATTCGCGCCACACAAATGCCAGGCTATGACCATCACCAATAAGAGACGATCTAACCACCATCCCTTGACATTCAATGGAGTTAACATCACTGAATACCCCCCACTATCAACATCCTGGGGGGGGGTTATCATTGACCAGAAACTCAACAGGACTCACCACATTAACACAGTGGCAACGAGAGCAGGTCAGAAGCTAGGAATACTGCAGCGAGTAACTCACTTCCTGACTCCTCAAAGCCTGCCCACCATCTACAAGGCACAAGTCAGGAGTGTGATGGAATACTCCCCAGTTGCCTGGATGAGTGCAGCCCCAACAACACTCAAGAAGCTTGACACCATCCAGGACAAAGCAGCCCGCTTGATTGGCACTACATCCACAAGCATTCACTCCCTCAACCACCAATGCTCAGCAGCAGCAGTGTGTACTATCTACAAGGTGCATTGTAGAAATTCACCAAAGATCCTCAGACAGCAGCTTCCAAATCCACGACCACTTCCATCTAGAAGGACAAGGGCATCAGACATATGGGAACACCACCACTCCAAGTTCCCCACCATCCTGACTTGGAAATATATCGCCGTTCCTTCACTGTCACTGGGTCAAAATCCTGGAATTCCCTCCCTAATAACATTGTGGGTCAACCCACAGCAGTTCAAGAAGGCAGCTCACCACCAACTTCTCAAGGGCAACTGGGGATGGGCAAGAAATGCTGGCCAGGCAGCGACTCCCATAACCCACAAATGAATAGGAAAAGAAACACTCCTGTCCCATAAAGAATTCAAAAAACTAAGTATATATATTCATTGGAACCACAATTCTGACTGCATTATGAATGAGGGATAACACAGTGTAGAGCTGGATGAACACAGCAGGCCAAGCAGCATCAGAGGAGCAGGAAAACTGACGTTTCGGGTTGAGACACTTCTTTCTGGCCTGCTGTGTTCATCCAGCTCTACACCATGTTATCTCAGATTCTCCAGCATCGGCAGTTCCTACTATCTCTGCATTATGAATGAACATGATTACTGCATGGAAACTGTGATGCTTCATCAATTGATAGCCCTACCACTTTGAATTTCAGAGCTTCAGTGGCAAACTTAAAAATGGTTATATATCTCTTAACTTCTAATACTGACAAAGGTTATTGATCTGAAACATGAACTTTGTTTCTTTCTCCACTGATGCTGCTTGACCTGATCTTATTTACATGATATTCCCATTTTCATATTAATTATTCTATTCCTTAAGTTATTCACCCTTTGGAGTGACTGTCACACTACAATCCAATCACGGCAGGCACAGTTTGGATATATATACAACACATAGATCTAACCAAGTGTGGAGCTGGAGGAACACAGCAGGCCAGGCAGCATGAGAGGAACAGGAAAGCTGACGTTTCAGGTTGGTCCGAAGCGGAACTACTGTAAATTCAGTATCAGAGTCAAAATCCTGGAATACAGTCCCTTGCACACAGGTGTACAACCGATTCCTACCACTGCCCACACCATGGATTGCAGAAATTCAAGAAGACAGCTCACAATCACTGCTCAAGGACTATTAAGGATTGGCAATAAATGATGCCCACATCCCTTGATCAAACAAAAACAGATTTATTATCTCCAGAACCCAGGCTCATTGGACTGTAATCATCATCAAAACTGGTTATCCAGTTCATTATCACATTGCTGTTTACAGGAGCTTGCTGGGCACAAAGCAACTGCAGTGTTTCCTTCATTACAAAAATAATTGTACTTCAAAAGTACTTAGTTAGCTGTTAAGTGCTTTGGGATTTTCTCAAGTTACAAAAAGATAATTAACGCAAATCTTTCCTTCTTTCTCACAGGCTGATGCAAAAGATTCTGAAGAGGTACAGAGTCCCTGATATCTTGGAGGACAATATTTTTCCTTCAAACTACATTGCTAAAATCAGATGAACTGGTCATTATTATATTGCTGCTCATGGTACTTTTCTACAAGCAAATTAGTGGCTGTGTTACCTACAAATATTGAACATTCTTCAGAAAATATACTGAAAGTATTATAAAATGCTTTATGGAGTTCTTAAAATCCTAAATAAATCTACAACCTTACATTTTTAACCAGTGAAATTTAAGGGTGAAGTAGCAGTGAATGGAGAAAGAACTGGCATAAATTAGAATGCCAAATTAGATATTGTAGGGAAAACAAGGAAGGAAAGAAAGACTGGAATAAGAGACAAAGACAGAATGAAAAAGGAAAGGAACAAAACAGAGAAATTAAAAATAAAGAATCTCTCAAAACAAATAATCACCTGCTGGAATGAGAGTACACAGTTTCAACTGAACAAAAGGTGTCATACCGGAATCTAATTAACTGTTTTTCTCTCCACTGAAGCTGTTGGTCACACTGAGTTTCTCTAGCATTTGTTACAGTTTCAACTGTACTCTAAGTAGCATTGTAAAAACACTAATCTTATCTTTAAAATGGTCCTTATGATGTGACCTAGAAGCTCCAACTTTCATCAGCGAATTTGATTTATATTTATGGTGCTAAGCCAACAGAAATTTACAGGAAAACTGACAGCTAGAGCTCATTTTCAAAAGGCTAAGAATGAAACCGTGTATGTTTTTTCTTTATTCATTCACAGGATGAGGGCGTTGCTGGCTAGGCAGCATTTATTGCCCATCCCTAATTGCCTTGATGGCAGTTAAGAGTCAACCACATTGTTGTGGGTCTGGAGTCACATGTAGGCCAGACCAGGTAAGGATGACAGTTTCCTTCCCTGAAGGACATTAGTGAACCAGATGGGTTTTCCAACAAATGACAATGGATTCGTGGTCATCACTGGACTCTTAATTCCAGATATTTATTGAATTCAAATTCCACCATCTGCCATAGCGGGATTCGAACCCGGGTGCCCAGAACATTATCTGGGTCTCAAGGTCCAGCGATGTGTGGTGATTCATTACTCATGCCATTTCACCGTCATTGTCATTTCTTTTGGCACACTAATAACTATCACTTTTAACTTGCTGCTACTTTTCCAGCAAATTCTACACAACAAAGTCTAAACCTAGACTTTCCAGGGAGATTGAAACTTCTTCAGGTTGGTTAGCTCGCTGAGCTGGTTCGTTGTTCCACAGACGTTTTGTTACCATGCTGGGTAACATCATCAGTGCAGCCTCCGATGAAGCGTCAGTGTGTTTTAGAACATAGAACAGTACAGGCCCTTCGGCCCACGATGTTGTGCCGAACTTTTACCCTAATCCTAAGGTCTATCTAACCTCCACCGCTACTTTATACTATCATCCATTTGCCTATCTAATAGCCGCTTAAATGCCCTTAATGAGGCCGACTCCACTACCCTCTCCGGCAATGCATTCCACGCCCCTACCACTGAGTAAAGAACCTACCTCTGACGTCTCCCTGATATCTACTTCCTTTCACTTTAAAACTATGTCCCCTCGTAAAAGCTACCTCCACCGTAGGAAAAAGTCTCTGGCTGTCTACTCTATCTATACCTCTGATCATTTTGTACACCTCTGTCAAGTCACCTCTCATCCTTCGTTGTTCTAAACAGAAAAGCCCTAGCTCTCTCAACCTTTCCTCGTAAGACCTTCCCTCCATTCCAGGCAACATCCTGGTAAATCTCCTCTGCACCTTTTCCAATGCTTCCACATCTTCCCTGGAATGAGGTGACCAGAAGTGGACACAATACTCCAGATGTGGCCGAACCAGGCTTTTGTATAGCTGGAGCATAACTTCACGGCTCTTGAACTCAATCCCTCTATTAATGAAAGCTAACACACCATAAGCCTTCTTAACGACTCTATCCACCTGGGTGGCAGCTTTCAGGGAACTGTGAACATGAACCCCAAGATCCCTCTGCTCCTCCACACTGCCAAGAATCTTTCCGTTAACCTTGTATTCTGCTTTCAAATTTGTCCTTCCAAAATGAATCACCTCACACTTTTCAGGGTTAAACTCCATCTGCCATTTCTCAGCCCAGCTCTACATTCTATCAATGTCTCTTTGTAACCTAGAACAGCCCTCTGCACAGTCCACAACGTGACCCACCTTCGTATTGTCCGCGAACTTGCTAATCCACCCTTCCACTCCTTCATCCAAATCATTTACAAAAATCACAAATAGAAGAGGACCCAGAACAGATCCTTGTGGTACACCACTCATAACTGAGCACCATGTTGAATATTTTCCGTCCACTACCACCCTTTGTCTTCTAAGCATCAGCCAATTCTGAATCCAATCTGCCACATTTCCCCCTATCCCATGCCTCCTTTCCTTCTGCATGAGCCTACCATGGGGAACCTTATCAAACGCCTTACTTAAATCCATGTATTCCACATCCACTGCTCCACCTTCATCCACGTGTTTGGTCACCTCTTCAAAGCATTCAATAAGGTTTATGAGGCATGATCTACCCCTCACAAATCCATGCTGACTATCACGAATCAAACTGTGCCTTTCCAAGTGATCATAAATCCTGTCTCTCAGAGTCCTTTCCAATAATGTGCCCACCACTGACGTCAGACTAACTGGTCTGTAATTTCCAGGGGAATCCCTGTTCCCTTTTTTGAACAAGGGAATGACGTTTGCCTCTTTCCAATCTTCTGGCACTATACCCGTGGACAGTGAGGATGAAAAGGTCATCGCCAAAGGCCTTGCAATCTCGTCCCTCGCTTCCCATAGAATCCTTGGATAAATCCCGTCAGGCTCGGGGGACTTATCTATCTTCAACTTCCTCAGAATTCCTAGCACATCTTCTTTACTAACATCAACCTCCTCTTGCCTACCTGCCTGTTTCACAACATCCTCCTCTACAACTAGGTCCCTCTCAGTTGTGAATACTGAAGAAAAGTATTCATTAAGGACCTCTCCGATCTCTTTAGGCTCTGTGCACAAATTCCCTTGATTGGCCGTACCCTTTCTCTGGTCATTCTCTTGAATGTTGCCATCTTTCCCGCCTGGTTTTTAAAATCTGGAGTCCATTGAGCTGGATTGCCTCACTTCCGGTTTTCCTTTGTAGTGGAGTGTATACGGGGTTGAGTTCTGTGTGTTTATTAATGGCTTTCTTCGTGGAGTGCCAGGCTTCTAGGAATTCCTGTGCCTGTCTCTGCTTAGCTTGTCCCAGGATTTTGGTTTTGTCCCAGTCGAATGGGTGCTTCTCCTTATCCATGTGGATTGAGATGAGTGAGTATTGGTCGTGTCTTTTTGTAGCCAGTTGGTGTTCATGTACTCTTGTTGTTAGTTTCCTTCCTGTTTGTCCGATGTAGTGTTTCTC